AGTGGTAGAGCGCTAGCCTTGAGCTGAAGAGCTGAGGGACAGCGCCCAGGCCCAGAGTTCAGGCCCCACAACCGGACCCAAAAAAAAAAAAAAAGCTTCTTATATTGAAAGCCTTTCTTTTTTCAAGATTAAACTCTGAAATTTGTTTGACTAATGTCTGCGTGTCATTTCTCCTAGCATTTCAATGTCTTCTCCTCTGCCTTTCCCTCCTCCTTCCCCTTGTCCCTACTTCTTATGCCAATACTAGGCTTGAACTCAGGGTTTTGGGCTCTCACTTATGTTTTTTGTTCATGGCTGGTGCTTTACTACTTGAGCCACAGTTCCACTTCTGGCTTTTTGGTGGTTAATTGGAGATAAGAGTCTCATAGACTTCTGCCTGGGCTAATTTCAAACCTGAATCCTCAGATCTTCTGAAGATCTAGCATCACAGGTATGAGCCACCAGTACCAGGCTCCAGGTCTCCCATTCTTTCACATTATGTCATTTGGACATATTTATTTGCTGTACTTCTCCTATAATCACAGTAGCATCTTTATGTGATACAGATAAAGACTCTTTTTTTTTTCATTCTCTAGAGCAAGAACTTATAGCAACCATTGGGTACCTATCACTATGCTATATACCATGAGTATAGCACTATGCTATACTCCATGAGACACATTGAAAGAGAAAGAAGTAGAAAACAAATTCATTGATTGTACTCAACATAAGACATGTTTAAATTGAAAATATATTCATTGGTTGCAGTCAACATAAGACATTTAAATGAAATACTTTTATGTGTTTGAAGTGGAGATTCACAAGAACCTCTGATGTTACTTGTGACTTACAACATTGTTTTGAATTGGAACTGATCTTTGCTTTCTTTGTAAATAGAGGTTGTCTTAGAATTAGGCTTAGAACAATTCCTAGGTTTTGAGTTGATGAACTGAGAAGGTTAGTACTTGTCAAGAATTTCAACTGAAATTTTTAGGTGAAATTGATAGGCGAAAAAGAGAATAAGAATATTTTGGTCTTGATAATGAGAAATATGATGGAAACAGTTGATGAATGATTTAAGAACCTTGTGGTTTGAGTCCAGCCTGGACATGTAGGGATGAAGACAGTTGGAGGAGACTGGAAGGGGAAGAGGTAAGCAGTGACAATTAGATAGGACTGGAAAGAAGAATCAGGCAGTAGAACACTTCTGTAGAGGACTGGAGGATTAAGGAGTCTGAGGAAGCTGAGGCAGTTGAGGCTCATACAGTTCAAACATTTGTTTCTCTAGAGAAGCCTAGTTCAGATGAAGAGTTCCCATCTACCCACTTATTGAGGGTAAACAGAACTTCTAAGACTTGATGCAAAAAGAAAAAAGACAGTAGGGTATGATGGTACATACCTCTAGTTTTATCACTGGGAGACAGAGGCAGGAAAATGGCAAGTTCCCAGGACAGCCTGAGCTACATATTAAGACCCTTTCTCCCCCTCTCCCCCAAAAAAGGAAAATAAAAGAAATTGTGTGCTTTAAGATTAGTCTTTGAAAATTGTCTCACTTAATTCTTCTTTCTCATTTTCACTGCAGATCCAGAAACAGCAAGACCGATCAGTTCCAAAATCACTACCACACTGGGTCTAGTTGTCCATGCTGCAGGTAGGGTTGGATTGCAGTGGGACCTCTCCTTCCTGTCACACAGAGCAGCTTAGCACACTGATCATCCATATTGAATGCTCTTGGATTGGTTATTGGAGCAGGTTGCTTAGTAGTCCTTCAGCCCAGGCATATTCTGTTAGGATTACAAGAGTGACGTGTGTGTGTGTGTGTGTGTGTGTGTGTGTGTGTGTGTGTGTGTGTGTGTGTGTGTGTGTGTGTGTGTTGCTTAGTAGTCCTTCAGCCCAGGAT